TCTGCACTTCTCAAATAGGTCTCCTATTGCTTTGAGAAAGGGAGAGCAAAAAAAAGTGTTGACAGATTAATTACAGGCTACTTAGTTGATACCATGTCCACAGAAGGAATGCGTCTGCATTGAAAAAACAAGTAACTTATTAACTGTTGTGGATAAACATATGTCAGATAGGATCCACTGGAGTGATTTTATAAAGTACGTAAGGATCTAAATCCCACTTTGAAGAGAGATTTATGGCTTTATATTTTATCCCCACTGGCAGCATGACCGGAGATGAAACTTTCATTGATTGGCTTCAGTGAGAGTTAAAAATAAACAAAATGAAGTCCCCTGGCTGTCCAAGAGCACAAAGGAGCTGTTCCTGCTCCGGAGAACAAAATGTCTAACTTTGGGCTATCTATCTGCTGCGCTCGTATGCTGGCAATTTTTCCAAATTGGAAGAACATTTCCATGGTACTGCTGTCACAGTTTAAATTAGTGTAGAAAATTAATCTTCATCCATGGTGTGCTTGAGCAGTTGGCAGGAAAAAGCAATCCCAGATTGGAAAAGTGGTAAAAATAATCTTCAGGTTACTATGGTTCATTGCGGGGAAGCTACCTTACTGCCATGCCAAAATCTCCAACAGATACCTCCAGAAACTGAGGGGAGAGAAGTATTGGAAACACACTTAGAGGGGGGAGATAATACCATATCCCCAAGTGACTCTGCTGTAACTAAGGTACACAGCTGGATCCCCAGGTCCCGGTGTTATCAGCCCCTGGAGCATAAGAGGGTCACGTCTTCCCACCAGCTGGGGTCCAGGCCATTCCACTGCCCAGAACCAGCTGGTCCCCCCACCCCATAACACAGTCTGTTCATGGACTGCCACGACCACCACGTTCATGTGGTGTCAAACTTCAATCAAGGGCCACAGAAGGAGGACCCCTCCCCCAACAGGGGCAGAAGGAATATCCCATGCCCCGCCTGCAGCGGGGAGGACATCCGTTTGTTCCAGATGGCACGCTTGCAAAAAGGATGGCTTAAACCACTTACACTGAGTGACAAAAATCAGATTATCTGGTAGCCGATAACTGTAACTATCAAGTTAGTTACAGTTCAGATCTTTGAGCATTATTTATAAGAACCAGTTTGATCAGGGGGAACTAACTGGAAATTTCTGTGCTGGGAATTTCCCCCCCCCCGATCAGTTCACACTTAAGTTGTTCTCATGGCTTTGACTGGAGAGAAGCAGTCAGACATGGGTTTGAATGAAGCTTGCCTCCACCCCAAATAAATAATTCAAAACCCAGGCTGTTAGTGACTCTCTCTCCTCCTGCCTCTCTGGCTGAGCCTGAGAAACTCTTCCCCAGCAGCATTGCTCCTGAGCCTTTCTATACTCCTGAACCAGAATTTTGGGTGAATTTTTTGGTTAGCTGATAAATTCCCAAACAGCTCTTTCTATAGGACCTGATCTAATGTCACCTCATTGAACTTACTTAGAAAGAATGAACAGCAAATGCATCAGACCTGAAAGCAAGAGGTTCTGACCATAAGTGTAAATATTGAGGAAAGAAGAAGAGTCCAATGGTCAGGGCACTAGCTAGGAATGCACAGCCTTTCTCGAAACCTGCCTCTGCCGTAGCTGTCTTGTAGGATCAAGATAAGCAAAGTTAAATTAAACTCTCAGTGCAAGAATATGTCATCTGTAAATGGGATAAAAGGGCTTCCTTTCCTCACAGAAACACTTACAAATGCTTTAAAGATGAGGAGGCAGCTCAGAGCACGTTGGTAATTACTAAATACAAAAGTACGAGGGGAATTTTGGTAACCAGGCATCTCTGAAAACCAAAGTCTTTTGCTGTGTAAAGGCAGCAGTGGAGCAGGTGTTTTAATGTAGCTTCTAAAAAGCCTTGGTAAGTTTAGTTTCCCAGATAATCCAGCTGACACTCTCCCACCACCGAGCCTGCCAGTTCTGTGGGTTGCAGTTAGCAATGCTTGAAGCTGAGTTACAGCTACCCACAGGCTGAACAAAAGAGTTATCATCAAAATTATTTCACATAAAACTCCTGGTTTTACTCGAAGTAGATTCCAGTAAAGAAAGTAGTAATACTTCTTAGCTTTCAATAAACCCATATTTTTATAATTAAATGTCCTGGTTGCCAGCTCTGATAATAATCTGTAAAACTTCTTATGCTTTTCTTAAAGCTCCAGGTACTGAAGACAAATAACTATGCAAGACTTACAACTTTCATGTAAAAGTAGTAACAGTTTTCTAAGCCCTTGCGGCTGCACAGGAATCACTCATTCCAATGGTTTAAAGCTGATAGTCTAATACCTCAGCATGTGGAGACCACCCATGATTAGGAAAACCTGAGGAAGGCAATCCTGAAATTTTACCCAGATGATCCAAAGGACGAAGTTCATGCTGCTCTCATTCTGCTATGTAAATGATGTAAAGACCCTCATTATAAGACAGCGGAGTCACCCCAGGGACTGATTTGGCACAGCGCCCTCAGTGTGTAGTTTGGGTGGAACCAAGCAGCTCCACGGAGATACTGCTGCAAACAGAACTAGCTCTTTCCAGGGACTCTTTCTTCTTGTACTCCTTCAGTGCCTTCTGCAACAAGCAAGACATTGCTTAGCAGTCGTGCCCTGCATGTATACATGTCAGCACTAAACCACTATAAAGTGAACTGACACTTTCCATGCTTTGAGGTTAAAATCTGTTTATTCATTTCTTTCATGTCGATCTTTGTTTCATTCTGTCTCCTTACTATACAAAACCCGTCATGCTCTGGGAGATGAATCACTGAACTTTTGTTGCCTTTTAGCTCCTCTCTGTGAGTGTGTAAAGCACTGCACCAGATGCTGAGTGTCCTAAATCACAGTTTCTATAGCTAAATCCACATTTCACAGCAGGTGTAGGCCATGGCATCCCTGGGTCCTAATCAGTTGCCCTGCTGTCCAGATCATCACACAGCTGGAGAGCTCAGAACTGGGGGCCATTCCTGGGGCCACAAGGTAAGGTGTAGCTTATGCTTAACACAGGTTCTTTAACAGACTATATGCATGAAATAAAACCAGTATTTTAGCAATAGATGTGATTTTTTAACCATAGCACACCAGCCTGTTGAATCTCAAGTCTAAACATAACCAACAGAAGAGGACTCTCAAAGGAATTAAGATGGTTAAATAAGGAGTCAGAAATTAATATAAAATAAAGCTATTAAATGCATATTATTAGACAAATGTTTGTGATCTAAGGTCCTTACCGCAGTGTCATTGGTGGTAATGTACACCAACACATCCGAGTTGTTTCTGCCATTAATGTATCTGTAACAGTTCCACACACAGCTTATCAAGTAACCCTGCAAAGAAAAGGGATTTATTATTCTGTGCAGAAAATAAACCATATACATTTTCTTGTTAGAGCATTTCTATTCTTATATAAATAAGAATATGAGCCTGATAGAAGCACGGGACAGTCACTTTGCTGGTTGCAGTGACTGTAAGTATGCATAGGCGCTCTGTGAGTAATCCAACACCATTCCTCATACTGATAGAGTTGGGGTTGTTCAGTCTTGAGAAGAGAAGGCTCCGAGGAGACTTTATTGTGGCCTTTCAATATATAAAAGGGGCTTATAAGAAAGATGGAGAGAGACTTTTTACCAAGGCCTGTAGTGACAGGACAAGGGGCAATGGTTTTAAACTGAAAGAGGGTAGATTTAGATTGGACGTAAGGAAGAAACTTTTTATAATGAGGGTGGTGAGACACTGGCACAGGTTGCCCAGAGACATTGTGGATGCCCCATCCCTGGAAGTGTTCAAGGTCAGGCTGGACGGGGCTTTGGGCAACCTGGTCTAGTGAAAGGTGTCCCTGCCCACAGCAGGGGGTTGGACTAGATGACCTTTAAAGGTCCCTTCCAACCCAAACCATTCTGTGATTATATGGTTCTGTGATTATGGATACTTGTGTTGCACTATGAGCTACTCCATCCAGGCAGAGATACTGCAATCTAGACCTATCTGAATGAAGTTTAGTATTCCAGATTTTTAATATTACAGCATGCTTAATGTAGACTAGTTGTTTTGAAAAGAAACAGTTTCTTTGGGCCTGAATATAGCTAAAGTAACATCATTTTGTGTATATAACCTCCATTTTACCCTAATGAGCAGGTCACATATGCTGGCTTTCTTTCTTACATCTCTCTAGAAATACAGAGAGATATGAGTTCAGTCAGACACCTCGTTACTGTGCATGGGATACTGCGTACCAGCAGGGGTGAGTTTTACAACATAAAATGAAGGTACAAGTTAGACTGTGACAAAAAAAGGGAAGGTGCTGCAGATGCAGAATGCCTCAGGGAGAGCAGCAAAAAGTAAACAGAAACCAGTTTTGGATTCCTCGATGATAAGGATGTTTAAATATCGTCAACTGGGGGTTAGTAGTATTAGAAAGTGGAAGCAAACCCCGGTAAAAAGAGCACAAGCATGCTGGGGACTGAAGAATCATCAAGCAAATTACAGGAAACCTTCCTTGTCTTGTGAGTGGAAGCCTGGCCGATGACTATGTGGTGATCCTATATATCACCTGCATTGTTTCAATACTCTGTTTCACTTAATCTAACATTAAATCGATGTATTCCATATGACTGGAATGGTCTGGGGGTATTCCTATTCTTGCCTGACTAGAGAAAATTGCCAGTGTAAAAGTTTTTATTGAAATCTGAAATTATTTCTGACCTTTTAACCGTTATTACATATACTTCTTTTTTTTTCAGTGTAAAGCAAAAAACCTGTTATTGCAGCAATAATCCTACCACAGGATCATAAACTTCACTAGTTTTTTTATTGGAGCTCACTCGGCTCTGGGTAGGGCCACTGCCTGGCAAACAACTAGTTGTCTCCACTTTTTTTTTAACTGGTTGGGCAAAGTGCTCACATCCATCATCTCCTTCACCAGCAGGAGAGATTCCAGTCTGGCCAGCAGCTATGAGCAAAGTGACTGGAAGGAAGACAGGAGGCAGTGACACATGTGGAGGAGCAGAAATCAGATCTTCAGCATGCCAGGGACAAGGCTGGTGGGACTAAGCAGTTCCCTCTGGAGCTTTCTGCTTCCCACATAGTCACACACAACAGTGATGAGGAGAACAATGTGTTTTGATAGTGCCCAACTTATATTTTTACTTAGTAGGTTCTGCATAGCAGTTCTTTCACAAACCTAGCGCGTGCAAATTAAACTGCCAGCCCTGATTGGATTTGCATGTGCGTCTCACTCTGAGTGAGTCATATTTTTGTGACTCACTTGCACTGATGACCTTCCAAAAGCCTCTTATCCTTTTGAGCTGCCCTGTACTTCCTCCCTCTCCAGAGCTGTCACACGAGCTGTGTTTTTCAGGATGCCACATGACTCACTGATGGCTCGCTTGCAGATCAGGAAGAGTTTTTTTCCACGGGGGCTGAGTTGGCTGAAATCCAGTAAGTTTGCTTTCTCTTCTTTACGGCATCTTACAGACCCTGGATGACTCAGAGGTGTTGCAGACTTTGACAATACTTTCAACTATCAAATGGGGAGAGCAAAAGGCTTCTGGAGTGAGCTGAGTCCCAAGGGAAGGTTGGACTGGCTCTACAGCCCAAGCTGTGGGCTATGCAAACCTGCCCCAGGCTACTGAAACAAGTGGAGTAAAGGCACATACATGGAGAACTGCATCTTTTCCAGAATTAAATAAAATGCCATTGTTAATTATAAATAGTAATAAATAGTTTAGTAGCTTTCAGTGCTCAGATACTGTGTGCTGAGAAAGGCATAAGAGCTAGTACAGAACAGAGACTGAATACAGTACACTTCTGTGGGGACATAGCCCATCTTTATACAAAACCCTTTACATTAAGCATAACTATTTGCAAACCAATTTCTATATACTCCTTCAGCCAAAATCCAAACTGAGGGAAGCCCCGTTTCAGATAATAGAGTCTTATCTGGGAGAAGCTAGTGGGAGATTTTTTTTTGAATGCTCTCATTCCATTACATGTGGTGAATAAGCCACATTTAACCCCACAATGAACCCCTACAGCTCTTCCAGCTCTGAGCCCTAGCTCTAATCAGCCCTGCTCCTGCATACACAGGCTGTTTCTCAGTGGGTGAGGTCCATTCCAGCCCTTGAATTAAAGAGGTCATCAGCCAGCACACACCAAGTAATTGGCCCCGAGACACTGACCCACATATGGTTGAGAGTGGCGGCAGCTCGGGGCATGTCCTTGTCCAAGTGCTGTGGACATGTGCTGCTGGCCTGCTAATTGTGAGTCATGGAAACTCATTTTCCTCAACCTGTAACAGCTTCTTTAAACTTGTTCCTAATCATTGTTTTCTACTGCTGCTGCTGCACCGTTAAATGGGATTGCTGATTCAGTTACCAATTTTTTTCCTGAAAAACTTGGCTGAGGTTCCAAATACTGCTTTAAAATGTGTGGCTGGACACACAGTATATAAATATATCGATTTTTCTCTCAGGATACCAATGTTCACATTTGGAATAGGCCCTACGTAAAAGGCATTAAGTCACTTCAGCCTAATCCACCCTTAGTGGTATTCACACATACCACAGCAGAGGCTGCTGACAGACACCTTTTGGGGGGGGCAGCCCCAATAGCCACCATGTGAAAGGATGGGTGTGCAAGAAGGGCCGAGTGTGGAAACAGGCACCGTGCCTACTTCTACCAGCTTTCAGTCTTCCCCTTTTAATGGTGGGAAATGACTTGAGCCCCTAAGGAACTGAAACCCACAAATCTTCATAACCCTGCCTCTCGCTGTTGTTATTGCATGTGCACTTGTTAAGCTGCATAACAACAGTAACGTACTGCACGACTTCTGCTCATCAGACACGTGCCCGACCAGCTGACTGACCAGCATCTTTGTGGAAATTAGAGGTTGCTGTATCCTGCCGTTTCTTGTAACGCAGCAAGGAAAAGTCTGTGCCGATCTGGGTCACAGCAGCCCTCTGGGCAGCTCCCTTGCTGGCAGCAAGCGCAGGGTGAACGCCGCAGACACAACAGAGCACCCACGGGTTAGGAGCTGTCTGCACCGAGTCCCGTTTTATTCTCTAGCTGCTTTGAATTTTCTATTGACAGAGCTGGGCTGGTCTTCAGTAACTGGTGAAAATGAGATAAAGTTTTCTACACAAACTGAAATTTATATGAAGATTTCAGAGGGATGCTAATGGCAGACCAGTTGGCCATATGTATTTCACATGTTGGTACTGCAGAAGGAGAAACAATGGGTTGCTGTGCTGATGCAATCTGCAATTAAATCCGTCTTCTCAGCACACTAGAATGTGTATCTTGTGAGTATAAAAAGGCTGTACAAGAACCACTCCTTATAACTGCAAAGAAATGCTGTGATTGAAAAGAATTAATGATGTCAAACCAAACCACTGGCCTGCAGCACTTTAAATGGCACCTTATACGGGCCAGAACATCATCTGTTGGCTCACAGTCACACATACTGGGGTGTGCAATTTAAAGCAAATGACCCCTGCTTTAGACATGCTTCTCCTATAAATGCCCTGCCACCAGCAAGGCCAGTGCTGGGACCTGTCCCAGGCTTTCGTGGAACAGATGGCAACCTCGTGGCTCTGTGTTGGCCATTCCTGGGAGTCGGGATCAGAGCTTGGCTGTCGGGGCTGTGTTCATGGTCCCAACTGCTGCTCCATCGCCCCTGCAGGAAGGTAGCAGACACCATTGCGATGTGCTGCAGGTCAGGGTTCCCCCTGCCAGGAGGCATCGCTTGGGCTGAGACACGAGATCTCTCGGGGTGAGCACAGAACTTCGTTCTGTATCACCCTTTCCCATCTGCTGAGGACACCAGGACATGCAGAGTGCTCTCATCTCCAGGCTCGACACCTTGCATACGCAGGTTATAGGCATATTATGGAGACCAGGGTTAATATTCAATTTGCTGAAGACCAGCCTGTCTCACTGCCCCACCTTTTCCTACCTCCTTTCCAGAAAAAGAAAGGCCAAAAAAGAAGAGGAGGCCATACTCTGCAGCTGCAGACTGCTCAGGGCAGCCTGGGGGAAAGGTTTGTTCTGGTTGTGTTTGAGCTCACCTGAGCCTAGCTCATTTGGGCCTGGGGGGCTTCGCCCAAGGTGAGGAGGGGGAGGTTGAAGCCTCAACTGTTCTGTCTCAGCAGCTGGGGCTGGCCTGAGGAAACCAAGGCCCTGTTCCCCAAACCAGCTGCAGAGGAGGGCGCGATTCGAAAGCCACTGTGTTGGCTATATGCCATTTGAAGTCCTGTGTACATGTATATAAACACATTTGTGCTGCTGGATGTCCTTCCTCAGCCAGATAGGAAATGTCTATGTTTCATGGTATGTAACTCTGGTTCAGTTTCTAGACAAACACAGTAATGGAATAACACATTTTGGTCTACTCTGAAAAAGATTCTGCGTGAAACCACCTGAAATATCCATTAGCTGCTTCAGATCCAAGTAAATCCTAAGGACTAAAAAGACAAGTGCTTGTCTGTGGTTAGTTGGCTCGCTTTCTTACTACCCTCTCTTGTCCCCCTTCCCTTTTCACAATCCTATGACTGCAAAGCACAAACCCACCATCTGCTATATCTTGATTTCTGCTGTGTTTTTCTGTGTTTTCTCTTGCAGGTAGCTTCACCCAAAACAAAAGTGTCATGATGCCAAATGTTTCTGAGGAATTATGTGATTCTGTTTCATATTTCCCACCAGCTGAATGCAGCTTTTCCTACTGTAGCTTTTCCTAGGTTACAATGTTTTGGTTTCTCTCCCTGTTTCTAGCTGAATTCCAGAGGGAAAAGGAGCTCAGGCATATTTTTATGCACAGTACCTTTTCAGTTTCAGTATATAAACGTGGTACCATCTGTTAAGTCTATCAGTGATAAAGTGTGAGGCATCTGATAGTGTCCAGCTTTCTTTTCATGGAGCAGATTCCATAAATCTGCATAGCAGCTCTTCTGGAAACACAAGAAATTAAAATGAAAATGCTAACTGGAATTTAGCATGTGTTTCTGTGTGAGTCATACCTTTTGTGACTCATTTGCACAATAAAATGTTGCTAGAATGAGCATTATGAGAGCCACATATACTCTTGGAAAAAACATGTGTTAGCCACTTTAAATCAAAATGAATCTTTTGCACTATTAATTTCTTAGGTTTCTTTTTTCTATTGTAAGTATTTTTGCCATTCCAATTTTAGTTGCATTTTTTTTATAAGCTTGAGACTTCCTTGCCATACTTGGTCAATGAAATACCAGACGCACCTGGGGTAAAAACGAGCTAGTGCTTGCATCTGAGAAATTTAAAGAGCACATCCCTTGTGACACCTGACAAATCTATGTATTTATTACATTCATACATATTTCTTAAAGGTGCAAACAAAATCAACTGTACGGCTGTGAACATATAAAGCCAGAAGGCTAAATTGTATTTCTAAATCACAGAAAAAAAGTGAATATCACTTCCAACAGCACATTAAAATACCCTATTTGGGGTTTTTTTTCATTTTTGAAGTAGCTTCAATAATCTAATCTACCTCTTTTGTCACAATAACTTTCCCTATTCATGTTGTCAAATGTGTTGTCTGGAAGCAACGTCCCTGGTGTCACTGTGGCTCTTTGGGACTTCTCTAATCTAATGTGTAATTGCTTTGCAGAGAAAGAGCAAGAACTATTCTGAAATAAAACCCAACATGAGAAATATAAGAACGGCAGCACTGCACTGTGAGAAACTTGCAGAAGGGTGCAAGAAGAGGGCAAACATACTGGCATACTTTCCAAGAGGTCCAAGGCTCAGGGGACCAGCTGAGCCATAGGTGGTTGTTTTTCACACATTGATTTGTCTGATCTTATTCTGAGCTCCTTTTGGACTTCTGCCCCACACAGCAGGTGGGGGCTGACCTTGCTGGACCACACACCTGGGTGCACGGGTTTCACATGAGCCCTTTCCGGCTGCACTGGGCGATGCTACATCTCCCCTTCGTCTGGTACCTGCCACCTCCAGCCCTCTCACCCGCGAGGTTTGCATAACAGCAAATAAATCATCACTCCCTGTGCCCTTTTGCTGCCTGGTGTGACAGTCCTTTACGTTGTCCCTCCCATGAGGGATTGTTTGGATCTATTTACCTGCTCTACAACATCCTTTTTGAGATAGGGCACCAGAAGTGAATGCATGCTTCCAGAGGTGGTAGGCATCAAAACTGGCAAAGAAATCTTTAGATTTCTGGTTTTTCTATTCCTTTCTTAATATTCTTAGCATTTGATCTACTTGTTTGACCAGAACTGAGCAGTAAGCTCATATTTTTACAGGTCTGTCTGTCTGTCTGTCTGTCTATCTATCTATCTATCTATCACAGCTACAAGATCCCTTTTTCAGGTGGTCATGCTTGGTTCAGAGTCCACTGCAGTGTCTGTGAAACAAGATTGTGCTTCCTCTGTGCCCACCACTTAGAATTTATCACCACTGAGTTTCTCTGCCATTTCATTGCTCAGTGCCGTGAGATCCTTCTGCAAAGCTTTCTTGGCCGATTGTTTTCCCTATTTTGAATGACACTGCAAAAAAATGTTGTTGTTAGATTTCCTTCCCCTTCCCAGATCTTTTATGAATGTACTGAACAGCATGGTCTCACTGTTGTAAAGACTGATAATTTATCCTTATTCTCTATTTCCTAGCTATAGTCTGTGAGATGACCTTTCCTCTTGTCCCTACACATCTTAGGGTGTTTTTTAAAGCCTAAAGGTGAGAGGCTCTGCCAAACACCTTTTGAAAAACCAAGAAGTCTGTATCAACAAGCTCTTCCTTGTCTACTGGATGACCCACTCCTTCAAAGGTTTTATGTGTCATGAGCTCCCCCTACAAGCATCATGCTTCCCCATTGTGGCCTATACATTCATGTGTTTGTCTATGAGATCTTCTGTTTTTTTTCCATAATGTCTATCACTTTGCTTCGTACAGCTGTCAGGCTGCCTGGTCTGTAGTTCCCTAGATCTATTCTAAAGCCAGGCCTCCCAGCAAGGCACATTCCACCCATTACCAGTAGACTTTATACACAGTAATGCACTTACCTTAAAAGCCAAAATGATACTTATGAAAAGGAGAATAATCACAACCAGACACGTAGGGTTCACAGACATAATCTCTTACTTGTAGGGAAGATTGGTAAAAAAAAAAAATAAGCAGAACACTAAGTTAATCTCACGAGTCATTTAAGAGCCATCCAATTAGTGCACTCTATAATTAACAGCTTACAAAGCTTGCTGTGATCTACTAAATCGGGAGCTCTCTACACCAATGACCAGTTTCAGTAAGTTTGGCTGGAACAGGCATTGCAAGGACCCAGCTGCCAAACGTTCACCGGAGGGCTGAGGGGTTTGCGTTTTGCTTTGTGGTGTGGGCTGTCTTTTCCTCTGTGCACACGGGTTTTGTATCTGACACAAACTAGCAAAGGACATCTCTCTGGGAGCTTTGCAGCAGGAAATCTGCCATCTTGGGCAATGGCAGGCAAGTCCTGTACTTATTAACTAATCATTATCTTATACTGGCACTGGTTGCCAAAGACCAGTGGCAGCTCCTTCCAGAAAGTCAAAGCAGGAAAAGCTGGACAGCACCTGGTCCTTTCATCTAAATATTTGATCAAAAGTCTATTTATTGCATGGTCTATTTATTGCATGGGTCTATTCTGCTCCATCTTATTTTGGCTAAATTTGGACGACTTTTCCAGGAGCACTTGTTAGTGCTGCTAAGTGCATGCCCCGTGGAAGCATGGGTCCTACAGGAGGGCAGTGTCACGATTTCAAATTGAAATGTGCTCCGGGTCCTGCTGTTATCTCATACATGAAATGGAGGTGACAAAATTAATCTTCCTACTTAGCGTAGGCTCTAGTGTGAAACACTTCAGGTTCACTGGCTGAAAAACAACCTCTAAAAATGTTTTACTATATTTGTTATTGCTTCAACAAAGCACACCCTTTAAAATGAATGTTCCAAATAGTTTTGAAATATTGCAAGGCACAAGTTCCTGTTTCAGCTAGAGTAAACCATTGCTCACAGACAGAGATGTTCTCCACAAAAGATAGCGCCGCTGCAACAATAGCTCATTATAACTGAATGCATTAGCTCCTTCCACACATAACCCCCTTTTTCCTTACCGGTCTAATTACTTAACCAGGCCAGCTCTGCATCTTTGTCAGGACAACTAACTATATTCTTGGTGATGATGGTGTCAATCCAGAGTAACCCCTTAATACACCTTATACCGGAACTCAGCCCACTGCATCAGGAAAGTCTCCTTTTTTTTGGACAGCTGCTAGTGAGAATAGCTCTTTATTAGCGCTTCCATGAACTGTTCAGAGTGGTTAACATCAACAGCAGCTGTAACCGTTTGCAGATAAATGTTACATAAGCACATTTTCCGCTTCTTGACAGCAATGTTTCTGTTCCTGTACTGAATTTCATGGCTGAAGTTTTTATCACGTTATCTTCTTTGTTGAGGTACAGCTTTGTAGGGAACTAGCTTGCCGTAATTCAATAAGTTGCTCCTTCTTTTTTTTTTTTCCATAGAAGGTTATCACTAAAGGTAGCGGATGCAGTCACCCAGAGACCAAGCAAGCAAGAGTATATACCAAGAAAAGATGCACTGAAAAATAAACATAAACCTTATATGCAGAAAATTTAAGTATTAATGCCACAGCCTCCTGCTTGCAGGAGGTAGGCCATGCACGTGGTTAGAAAGTCCAGTTAGTTAAGGACAGTTACAGTAAAACTGCCCCAAAACAATTTTTTTAGCACTGATCTACCATTAAAAAACTAGTCAAACTAGTTCGTGAATGTAATAAAAAACTCCTAGTGAGGCTTTGGTCCTCCTACACTCTGGTTTTTGGGGAGCTGTCACTGGTCAAAGACTGGATGACTGCATGCTGGGGTCTCGGCCATAACCTAATGGCCTGTTTCCAGAGGTCAGCTCAACTGGGATTTGCACGGGGGCAAGAGGAGGGCGGGAAAATTACCAAGAAAGGTCCCACTACCTTGAAGAGCAGGAACATCTGCTGGAGCCATGAGCCCTGGCCAAGTCTGGGCTTGTGCTGCAGAGCAGCACTGGGCGCCCAATGTCCAGCATGTGCTGCAGAGCAGCGCTGGGCCCTCCCTTACATCAGCAGTGTTTCAGGTGAAAGGACGGTAATTCAGCACTGAAAACAGCAAGCCAGGAGAGCACGTGATGAGCAAATGCTGCGGTTTGTCCCCTTTGCGCTCATATTTCTGGGTCTCTGTCCTGAAGAGATGTAAGGTGCAAGCAAACCCCAGAGAGGTGGTGGGTGCTGCACCCATGCAGCGGTCACCCCACCCACAGATGCCCAGGACATCTTGGTGCAGAGCATGAAAACCAAAGCAGGCCCCTCCTGGGGCTTCCCAGCTTGCTGCATGGGAGAAAAAGCTTTTGGGGCTACGATGAAGAGCCCAGGAGCAGTGAGTCAGTGTGGAAGAAACTCCCTTTGCTAACTGGGCTGGTGGCACCTGCTGACCAGAAGACGTTTAACGCTGGCTTGCCCAGGCTGGCCTAAGAGCTGCCTAATCTGGACTCATAACTACAAACCTCTTCAGTGCAGTAGGAAAAGCAATTTATAAAACCTGCAGCTTTTGGCAAAGAAGCAGGAAAGATGACGGGAAGCATCTTGGCTGGCTCCAGGCTCGCCTGGTGCAGGCACCATCATGGAGCTGGTGCCATCAGGAGGCCCTTGGGATCCTCCCACGGCAGCAGCCACCCACAAAATCTCATTCACTCCCACGGAAAATGGGTACCAACAGTGGTTCAGATGAATCAAAGATCCATTGCCCTCCACCAACTGCAGTGATAAGTTTAAACACTGATGTGGGTGTATGAGGTGGGAAGAGAAATTCTGCTCCTGTGCTAGGGGTTTGCTCTCCTGCGGGGAGATCAGTAGTTGAAATCCTTCTGCTGGGAAGGCCCCGGGCACCGGGCTCAGTGCTGCAACTTCTGGGAAAAGCTCAGTGTCAAATGTTGTGCAAGGTTTGACGAAGCTGAGACTGAAATATGGCTGGGTGGGAAAAAACAAGCCTGTCACTGGAAATACAGGAGTGATTTTGCAGCAGGACATGATGAAATTTTCTATACAAACAAGAGGTAGTTGTAGTGGTCTGGCATCGGCATGCTAAAATCATAATTAAAGTGTCTTTTATAACCTTGTCATGGACATGGAGAGGGCTTCGTGCATAATAATATACGTGGTAAACTTTCAATTAAAAAAAAATTTACTGCTTATACATGGCAAAGCTCTATTAGATGCTTAAAAAGAATCTAAAACTTGCATGGAAAGTGTATTTGTATTGCATCGATATTGTACAAATGCACAAGAAGAATAAAAAGTCCAAGGCTGAAGCCCTTTCTCATTCCCTCAGCCTGCTTGCATAACCTTTCACATTTTCCTTCCCCCAGACCACAAAAATTCCACTTTATAAGATGGTGTGGATTCTCATTCAACAGTTACCATCCTTTGAGTATCAGAACCTTACAAAATTGAAAGAAGACAGTAATGTGTCTGTAGAATTTTTAAAGCTCTGCTGTGAAGTTAGCAGTACTTCTTCTTTGGAATTATAAAATGGCATCAAAAATGTGAGAAAGGATATTTCTTTTTTAAGCCATAGTTTATAGGAAAAATTTCTTCAGGTTTAATCTCTTTTACGTTCTCTAGACGTTTCCCCTAGGATTCAAAAGCATGACTGATACCACCTGAATTGTTAGACAGCAGCATTGCAGGTAGTCCCATAGTAAAGCTATTTAATATACTTTGAAATTTTCTTTAGATGAACTGTAATAGTCCTGTACTTTAATAAAAAACAAGTTTGCATAACTCAGGTGCAGACTAGCCGGTTCCGCACCTCTGCTTCAATTCATTTTGTATACAGTTATCAGATGACAGAAGATGAAGTGTTTAATTTGAAGGCTTTAGAAAGCCCATATATCAAAGATTTAGTGGGGCTAAAGAAAAGAAATGTGCTTTAGGTCAAACTACTTTAGACCACTACTGCTCCAAGAACCAAAATGATTTTTATTTTACACATGCTGGATTTACTGTATGTGAAGGTTTTTGTTTTTCTAGTGACAGTGATAATGACCAAGATGTCCCACATAACCCTTAGAAAGTTTTATCACATGTGATCACCATACAACATTTCACATACTAGATTTGTAACATCTACTTATTTTACATGACCCTTCATGCTGAGATGCTCTAGCAATTTATGGGCGTTACGTGGCACACCTGTATGCAACTGGGTATTAAAAGGCAACAAAAAGTTTCCAAAGACACTTGCGCCTCTGAAAGAAGCAGCCAATAGAGGCTGGCAGTACCAAATACCCTGTGAACACAATGATGTTCTGTATTTTACAATTGCAACATTTTCAGCTAGGGCTCTGCCTACTCATTTATCATCTTGCTAAAAGTACATGGACGGTTTCACAGTAGCTTGCAACTCATCACTGACAGACTGAAATCTGGCAGATGTGCACCAAAGTGAATAGATAACTTAATTCCAGATACTAGTGCAGGGAAGTAGAAATGGTTAAAAACATGGGGTTTTGACCTTAGAGCAAGAAAAAACTGTTCTTCTGAGACTGCCAAACATATTCCATTACCTAATGCATACCTTCTTCCAGATAGTCAATAACAGATTTGAAGAACAATTGGGATTTTTCATTTCCCTTATGGAGCTACGCTCCCTAAAATATCATTCCCTAAATTCAAAGCAGGTTTAGAGGAACAAAATCTGTAAGAATGCCAGGAAGAAACACAATCCCCTTCCTTGCTTTCTGCCTACCTTGGCAGACCTCTGCAAAGGGGGTGAGGGCAAGATGACTCTAGGGCTTATTTATAAATTGTCAGGAGGGATCACACCCAACCGGCATGACTCAGGTCTCACCTACGGGGACAAGGGTGTTAGCTGCAGTCTTGTTCTAAACGTAGTGTTTGAGATGACAAACCTATCTGCCATGAGGATTATTAAAAGGCAGGGAAACAAGTCCATGGGTACAAGCCTGTTTAACAATATTTGGGCGCTAGCACTGCATTGATGGTGTTGTTGCTAAAAATTTGAAAAGCTTGTTTCCAGTTTCATTTCATTGTGTGTCTGAGTATCTGATAGCAGTGGATGTGATGTCCACTTTTCTTTTGCTTTTGCCCACTCAGAGAGACTGTATTTGCTCTGAACCAAATGTGACATCCTTTTGCCAACCTTCCTGGTAAGGGTCTGAGGGACCCTGCTGAGCCACTTGTGCTTGGGACCACAGCTGAGACACAGGAGGCACGAACAGCTTCAAAGCTGATGCAGAACAGCTTCAAAACAGCTTCAAAACTTTGTTGAACAGGTGACATTAACTGTACAAAATTCACCACAGCTCTTGGTAGGTTTTGCCAATCACTAATCTCCATTGTGAATGATAAAATAGAAATGACTCCTTGTTTCTAAATGAACTTAACTTGGACTAGCTTTTAGCTACTCATTATCATTACGCCTCTCATCTAATTTAACAGCATTTTAATACCTCATTATTCTGCATATGAAAACTAACGGCATCACCTCTTGGTCTCCTTTCTTGGTAAATGAAGCAGGAAAAGCTGATTGTCTCTCATCATACTACAATGTATCCAGCTTTTATATAGTTTTCAGAGGAACTTTTCTGCATGTTTTCTGACTTTTCAGCATTGTTCTTTACACCCAGAAACAGGCAGATGAAACCTATGTCACCAACTGAGAAGGGAAGTCTCCTCTCCGTTACCATTCATTATTGTCCAAAAATCCCATAAGCAGTTTTTGGGAACAGCAAAAAAACCTGGGGACTCTTGTTTTGGCACTTAAGCAGCTCACTATGCTTACAGGATCACTGCATCCCAGGTACAGTTGCCATAATGTATGCTCATTTATATTCCTCATTTTTTTACTTCTTTTTTTTTCATTTAGCAATGTAACACACATTAATGACTGAACTCAGGTTCTCAGTTAGTCTAGCTCACTCTGATTAATGGCTCTGTCCTTAGTGTTATTTACTTCTTCATTAATCTCTGTGTCAGTGACAGGTTTTATTAGAAGTGATTTTGCTGGGAAAAGGCACAAGTACTGACCCTGGGAAATGCAGAGATGTGCTCACTTTGGGCAATGCAGGGATAGGGTCTTTCAGAGGATAACATGGAACAGCTAGATTAGGCTCCTGCTCGCAACCTTCTGCTAGAGGACTTGATTCCTCTAGACAGTGAGCCTGGGGAAGCTCTCCCAAGGCTGACGTTAGCCTTTGTGAATGGCCTCTTGGGTACCAAGGTTATTAATGGAAGTCAGGAAAAGCATGAGACCTAGTGCTGATTCCTGGAGACGTTCCTCTACCCAAAATAGAAACCCATTGGCAGATGGTCGGCTTGACTACGGCCCTTTGCAGTCTGCCAGCGAACCTCTCCTAATCCATTCGATACATCCTTTATCGATCTAGTGCTTTATTGTTGCTCTGAGTATCACGCTGCGAAGTCACACGTCTTACAAAAGTCTATTATGCCCCTGCCCATCTTTATTGACGAAGCCAGTAATCTTGTCCGTAAAAGAAAATGAGTTTGCCTGCAGGACTGATTTTCCGTGAAACCGTGCTGGCAGTCATTAATCATATTCCTCTCTTCTAAACCTTTATCAATTGACTCTCATCTCAGCACTTCTCTTATTCTGCTTGGTAGCAATGTCAGGCTAATCAGCCTATAAATGTCCTGGAAATCCCCCTTGCCCTTTTGAGCTCTGACAGTTTAGCCCTCCTGAAGTCTTGCGGCATTTCATTACCAGTCCGGAAAATGATTTACAACAGCAAGACAAAGATATGTGCAACCAGAGGTTTTAATGCTCCAGAGCAGCAACGTGGCTCACAAAATGCTCTGCTGCACCGTTCCCAATACCTTCCAAGGCCAGCTCCTTGTATTTCTGCTACGGAAGGGCCTATTATTTTTTTATCTGCAGGAACGACAGTGACATTTTAGCAGACATTTTGAGAGAATCAGCTGCTCTTTGCCCTCCTGGTGAGCCAGCTCCAGACGCGGCACCAGGTTTTCAGTAGAAGAACAGGGGCTTTTTGGTGCGCAGCTCCCAGCCTGATCCCATCCCCTCACGTTCTCACACAGTGACCAAGACTAAGTAAAACCTGATTACAACTCATTCCCTGGGAAGGTGGGGGGGGTTTTCAGTAGAAGAGCAGGGGCTTTTCAGTGCGCAGCTCCCAGCCTGATCCCATCCCCTCACGTTCTCACACAGTGACCAAGACTAAGTAAAACCTGATTACAACTCATTCCCTGGGAAGGTGGGGGGGGCGTTCCTGCAGCCACACAGATGCTTGTGCTGCCACAAGAGAAGGGCTGACACGGCTGCAGAAGCGAGGGACTGCAGGCGAAGGAAGGGCAGGAGGGCTCCAGCCAGCGGCAGCTTCAAGCACTCACCAAGCTACAGCTGTAATTTGCTCTTTTCCACTCATATCTCTGAGAACCTTTTGAATTATTCCTCTGCTTTTCTTCCAGTCTAGCATCAGCTGTGAATGCAGGCGGGTGTTAAATAAGGTGAAGGATAACAGGCCCCTGATGAATCCCAGCTCCCACTGGCTTGATGCATTGCCTCTTCCTGCAGATTTGTGTGGCTACTTATCTGCCTGCTGTTTCTCATTACCCGTAATTTATACTGCCCTAGCTAGTTTTCTCTCCACACAACAAAGTTCACAGCCAAGCTAATCTGTATTCAGGTTCTCAAGGCAGATTTTCAGACACAGCGGCAGCGTTAGCTTCCCCCAGAGCTCTGCAGCTCCACCTGAATATTGTTGGACATGGCACATAGTCCTGTAATGAGACAGAGGGTGGTGGGCTCTTGTCTTTGCTGTAGGTGGTTGCAATCACATCCTGTAACCTTGCACAATACTGGCTATGGATGTTTGGCCAAAGTAGACCATGGCAGAAGGCAGCCTCTACTTGTCCCTAAGACAGATTCTGATAATATTTTCTAGCAAAAACAAACGTACATTGAATCAAACTCCTGCCTAATGAAATCTGTGTTAAAGCCACCAAATAAATTAAAAGGAGCAACAAAACATCCTTGAAATAGCACCAAAAATAAGCCGCTGGATATGAGCACAATAACCCTGAATCCAAAAGCAATTACTTATTATCTATGTCTTGCAATATGTGTCTCATTCTAAATGAAGTGGTGCTGAGAGCTTCCACAACATTGCAAAACTCCAGAGCTCTGCACAAATATTGTAATAAGTTAGTAATGTAACCTTGCAAGGATGTTGAATACAGACTAGCAAGGACTGAGAGGACTTTTCAAGGGCTGCATAGGAAGTCAACAATAAACTGTTGGCTAGAAACACAAGACAAACTGTGCACCTTGCACAGTTTTTTCCCCCAAAGCCCCCAAAGGCTTGTGAACATCAAGTGATTTACCAGTTGGCGGAGGTAGTCCTGAATTGTGCTGGGATAGACGAGTACGCTGATGGCAACCAGCGTGTTAAGAGCAAAGTCAAATATCTGGTAACAGAAGAAAGGGATGATCCAAGCCGCATGTTGCTAAAAAGGAAATAAATTAAAAACTCATCAGCCACAAGTTAAAATAGAAGGATATATGTCTTGCTACACTAAAATCTAAGCAATATTTGACACAATGCATTACATTTCATGAAGCCATAAGAGAAAAGAACTTGTTAAATCAGCTAAAAGAAATATGACATTCAGCCAAAAGGGTTGACCAAGCCAGCTTGGCTGCTGAACTGCAGTAATATATGTGGTGTAAGTAAGTCCCACAACTTGTTGTACTGGGACATTTAGAAACCACATGACACTCTTTTTTCCCCCCTAAGTAATAGGATTAATAGTGGGAAAAACCACAGACTTGGGAGGTGAATGGGAAAAAATTCCCTTAATTTTGGTAGGAACAAGATTTAGTTCTCTGAATTCAGAGTTTGCCCAGAGCTTACTCATATTTGAAACTGCAGACAGTCAACACAACTGGGCAGTCTTCCTGCCTACAGCACGGGGCCCTGGGATATTGCTGATCTGAGCAATCAGTTCTGCTGCCTCTTTGACTTTTTTTTTTCCTCTCAGTTTTCAGCTAAACAACTAAACAAGAAATTGTTAGAAAGCAATTTTCTTAATTTTGTTTCTACAGAGTTGTGTAGTTCACTTGATTCATGTCTTCGCCAAATATAATGAATTACCTTATATGCACCATATGTAGCCATTGCACAGATCAGAATCATAAGAAGAGAAATTGCTGTGGCAATGCACATATCTGGAAGAGAAACACATCAAAATGATCACTGATAAATTCAGAGCTTGGTTCAGTTATTTTGCCATCTACCTCATGCAGAGCATCTCAAAGGTCAGGGTGGGAAGTGGGGTGGAGATGGGGTCAGGTGCCTCATTCAGCCATTGCTGTAGGAAATCTCTGGCTCTTGTGGGAAACCTCCTAAATATGAGAAGCACAGACAGTGATTACACTGTGCAAGCCTCTGCAGCCTCTGTGAGGCTGTGGAGGTGCCATGACTGATTTAATTTTTCTGAAGGACTTTGAAAAATCAGGAGCAGACTTTTCAAGGGCTGCATAGGAAGTCAACAAAAAACTGTTGGCTAGAAATACAGGACAAACTGTGCGCCTTGCACAGTTTTTTCCCCCAAAGCCCCCAAAGGCTTGTGAACATCAAGTGATTTACCAGTTGGCGGAGGTAGTCCTGAATTGTGCTGGGATAGACGAGTACGCTGATGGCAACCATCACGTTAAAAGCAAAGTCAAATATCTGGTAACAGAAGAAAGGGATGATCCAAGCCACATGGAGAAGACTATTTTGTCAGTGATGATGACATCTGTAGTCAGAAAGTGTCTGATTTTCTGCACTACAGATTGTTTTTGCACTAGTAGCTGCTGTGTACTATTGCTCACATATCTCTCAAAACTTTGGAAAAGCAGAAATGAATTTTTAAAACCAAACTGGCAGGTAGAGGCATCTTAGAGCAGAAATAACATCTTGAAAATTTTCATTTCAACCAAGAATACTACAGAGATATACAGCTTATTAATGAAGATGTATAGCTGTCAGGAAAGGTGAAGTAGTAAGAGAAGCAAAATACTCTTTAAGGTTTTGATTGGAGTAATTACAGGACTCCTATCTTTTTCTTCTATTGCTGCTCAGCTTTCAATTAACTTTTTATTAGATTCAAGAAGTTCCTAAGCCACGAACAGCTGGAAGGAGATCCTGGGGGAAAAAATTGCATATGTTTGGTCTTTTCCTGTACACCTCCCTTGATATTACAGGCCATAGTCACGATACCAGAAGTGTATTTCTAAACCCAACCTTATAGTGAGTTTGGGAGTGCAACTGAATATGGCAACTACTTTTCTGAGGCTAAGCCAGTGCACGAAGAGGAGAGAGGACATGAGGTATATAGGACATGACTTTAGAGAACCCAGCTCTGTGGATATCTGTGAGATACCTGCTGTTCACATTGCTGTCACCAGGTCCAATTAAACTACCTGCCTTGATGAGACATTTGGTGGACTTCAGACATACAAATACATGATGGTATTCAGGCTGTTCAACTACCCATTACTGCCTGACTTTGGAGGCATTCAAAGTGTGAAGATGCCTCCATTTGATTACAGAGTTGCCACAACATCTAACTTCAGCCCATGATGAGGAGTATCCCGCAGCAAGGGACAGTCCCTCCACCTCCCTGGCTGCATCAAAATGAGGTTCCAGGTAGGTGCCCTGGAGCCTGCATCAAAGTCCCTGAAAGGTCCTGATCTGGTAGCTGTGGACAGGTCTCACCTACAGCCACCAGGCAGCAGTGCAGGTTCACCCGGGTCATGGCTGAAGAGGAAGGACAGACACTAAGTATTGCCTGTCATTTTTTCCAGCCTACCAGTACGATCATCCATGTAAAAGACAAAGGACCCAGTCCTTGACCCTTCTCTGCTTGAAGGAACACAAACCTGCATTAGCGCAGAGCTCCTGCCAGCACTAATCCAGATTTCTACTGGCCCTTGAAGCAGAGAGGAACCTGAGACTTGTGAAGCTGGCGGAAAAATGAGCAAGAAGAGATTGTCGTTGGCTGGTGAGAGCGTCTCCAGAGAGTGCTTATGTACGCTGGGCTACAGGCTCCTTGGGTACTGTGCCTACCAATAGCACGATTAAGGATTTAGGAACCCAGGTCTCCCCTTTCCCAGGACACTGCCTGTGTCCTGGGTTTCAGGACACTTGCTTTCTCACTGTTGCCCCCAGATTTTGTCCATGTGATTGCACAGGGACTCAAATGCAACAGAATAAGCCCTATTGCAGGCTACTTCCTAATTTAATGGATGGGGCCCCTTTCCTGGGCACTTGGAGGAGCACATTTAAACCACTGTAGTCTGATGAGGGCCTGGAGTCCAGATGTCCTTACTCACAGTGCAAATGCTTGAAGCTTTGTCTTATTGTCAAAATAAGCAGGTCTCACCCAGGAGAGGCACCAGCACTCAGCACTGAGGTTAGCTGCACCCCTGCGCTCACTGCTTCCTACCCGGTGGCTTTACGCAGCTCGGCTTGTGGGCGCTTGGAAATGCCATCGGGAGGCAGCTGGGCTCCCTGCTTGTAAGTCAGGAGGGGACGACATCTCAGTGGATCCCAAATTGGTCTTTATGCCAAATTGCTCTTCAGAGGCACCTCCTTCACCTCTTTGTGCAGAGATTCCGGACATCCAGTGTAGGTGTCTGAGCTGCATTGCCATGACCAGTCTCCAGCTTTTTAGGAGCTGTAAGGCTGTGCTGTGCCTGTTAGATCTGATCTGAATTCTGCCCTCAAGAGGAAGAAGCACCCACAAAACAAACCCATACTGATACAAGGTACCGCAGCCTCTTCAGACACTCTTATTTGTGTGGTACTTTACTCTGGCTGCCTACATACGTCCTGTGAAATCAAAATTATTTTGAATAGGCCAGGTACAATTGGGGTAACGAAAGAAAAGGAGAGAAGTGGAAATGGCTGTCTGTAGCCACTAACCTCAATTGAACCTCCTATAAAAGAGGATCTTGGATCAATATTTTTCATTTAACCATCAGTTTGAAGGCACTGCTCATGTATTTATTTTGTCCGTTCTTAATCCCAGTCACCTACTCACTGTATCCAAGGGGAAGCTGCTGTCATTGTAATTTCATAGAATCATAGAATAGTTTGGGTTGGAAGGGACCTCTAAAGGTCATCTAGTCCAACCCCCCTGCTGTGGGCAGGGACATCTTCAACTAGATCAGGTTGCTCAGAGCCCCGTCCAACCTGACCTTGAATGTTTCCAGGGATGGGGCATCTACCACCTCTCTGGGCAACCTGTGCCAGTGTTTCACCACCCTCAGCATAAAAAATTTCTTCCTTATAGCTAGTATATATCTACCTCCCTTTAGTTTAAAGCCATTCCCCCTTGTCCTGTCTCAACAGGCCCTGCTGAAAAGTTTGCCCCCATCTTTTTTATAAGCCCCCTTGAAGTACTGATAGGCTGCAATAAGGTCTCCCCAAAGCCTTCTCTTCTCTAGGCTGAACAGCCCCAACTCTCTCAGCCTTTCCTCATAGGAGAGGTGTTCCATCCCCCTGATCATTTTCGTGGCCCTCCTCTGGACCTG